TTCCAGCAGATGACCTAAGAATTATACATTATCTATCCAATATAGACAATTCACTCTATGATAAAATTCTTTATGAATTCATTTTAATAGTCCTCATTTATAACTATAATTTAGATGGAATTCATATATTGACAAAAGCAGGTTTTTAAAAGATACAACTCTAGAATATTTGTCTTTGAGTACAATTTAACCTTAAATATATGAAAAAAATCTCAGCCTTAAAATCTGCATTATAACTAAATACTACTTTTATACTAATGTCCTGGAGATCCTGTATATTTGTCATCTGTTTAGTGAAACTTGAGATTGTTAAAAACCAGTTTAGAAATAGGAGAGTATTTTTAAGATTACCTGCCACCCTTGTATATCGTAATGTCTGGGGACTTGATTACTCTTCATGCTGTTGTGTGTGATAAGCATGTCCTGTGGAGACACTTACTGCCCCCTGAGTTGCTTAAGTGACCTTCGATCCCATCAAGGAAACCATCTACCTGATTCTTGGAATGTGTGAGAATGTGAAGTAGTTCCAGTGGACATGGTAAATTTCTTAACTTGAAAGCACTTTCTTGTGGTACAGTGACAATGGTTAAGAAATAAACTTTAGGCTGGACATGGTGGCTCATGCCTATAATCTCAGCACTTTGGGAAGTCAAGGAGGGAGGATCACTGGAGGCCAGGAGTTTAAGACCAGCCTGAGCAACATAGCAAGACCTCGTCTCTACAAAACAAACAAACAAACAAAAAAAACAAACAAAAAAATTAGCTGGGTGTGGTGGCACACACCACCTGTAGTTTTAGTTACTTGGGAGGCTGAGGCAAGAGCATTGCATGAGCCCAGGAACTTTAGGCTGCAGCGAGTTACCGTGTTTCTCCGAAAATAAGACCTACCCATAAAATAAGCCATAGCAGGATTTCTAAGCCTTTGTGCAAATAAGCCCTACCCCGAAAATAAGACCTAGTGATGGGCGTGGCTATACCGCATATCTGTACAACCTATGCATTTCGTCGCAGAGTGGTAAAGAAGACAAGCAGCCCTTCTCATCTGCCCTATCCTGATAGCTACTATCCCAGAAGTGTGGGCAGCCCCACCACCAAGGTTCACTCCCCCTGTCAAGTTCCGGCCATCCTGTGCATGCTGCAAGCTGAGGCTTTGAGGGGAAAATAACACATTCCCTGAAAAATACCTAGGTGTCTTCTTGAGGAAAAATAAGTATAAGACCCTGTCTTATTTTCGGGGAAACACGGTATGCTTGGGCCACTGCACTCCAGCCTGGGTAACAGAATGAGACACTGAGAAAAGAGAAGAGGAGAGGAGAGGAGAGAGAGAGAGAGGAGAGAGAGAGAGGAGAGGAGAGAGAGGAGAGAGAGAGGAGAGAAGAAGGAGAGGAAGGAGAGGAGAGAGAGGAGAGGAGAGAGAGGAGAGAAGAGAGAGAGAAGAGGAGGAAGAGAGAAGAAAGAAGAAAGAAAGAAAGAAAGAAAGAGAAAGAAAGAAAGAAAGAAGAAAGAAAGAAGAAAGAAGAAGAAAGACAGGAAGAAAGACAGAAGAAGGAAGAAGAAGGAAGGAAGGAGGAAGAAGAAGGAAGAAGGAAGGAAGGAAGGAAGGAAGGAAGGAAGGAAGGAAGGAAGGAAAAACTGCAAAAACGATTCCACATGAAAGCAACTAAGAATATGAGTCGTTATGCCTTAACTACAATCCTTATTGATCAAAAAGAAAAGCAAGATTTTCTATGTATCTTCCTGTGTGGCATCCAATCTAATTAGAAAGACAAGGCATGCATACTTGCATAAGAAAGCAGGAGAAGTTATATGTGTTAATCACCTGCTATGTTCTAAGCTATAAAATTGAGCATTCCTAATCTGCAAATCCAAAATACAAAACTTTTTGAGCACCTAAGTGATGCTACAAGAAAATTTTACACCTGACCTCATACAATAAGGTCACAATCAAAACCAGTCAAAACTTTTTGTTTCATGCACAAAATTATTTAACATATTATATAAAATTACCTTTAGGCTATGTGTAAAAGGTATATATGAAACATGAATGAATTTAGTGTTTAGACTTGGGTCCCATCTGCAAGCTATTTCATCATGTATATGCAAATATTGCAAAATCCAAAACAAATCTGAAATCTGAAAAACTTCTGGTCCTAAGCATTTCAAATAAGGGATACTCAACCTGTTGTAGTATGATGTAAAATTTAGTCTCCCAACAGGTTTTAATGATGGTTATTAAAAATCTGAATTTATAGGTAAGGAAGTTGACGTAAGAGAGGACAGAAATTACAAAGCTGGGATTTGAAACGAGGTCCATCTAACTTCAAAATCTGTTCTCCGAAAGAATTGTAAAAATGCAAACCTGGGAGTACATGATGATATGAAATATATTATCACACTGCATATCCAGCATCACCAAAGAATGGGGTGTTCTACATGATATGAGGTATTCAATATAATTGAATCCTATTGCCAACACTGATTTGCTTGGCATTTGAATCTGATTTCAAGTGGGAAACCAGAAGTAGTGTTTGTGAACATTATGTGTTAATGTGTTCGGAATGAGAGCTGAAGGGACTGACCTAAAATAAACGCATTAAATATTTTTTAGGTATATTTATTATATTATATATATTTAGGTATATTTATATATACCTATAATATAATATATATATTTAGGTATATTTATATTTATTTAGGTATATTTTTAGGTATGTTTATGACCTAAAATAAATGCAGATAATATTTTTGTCTTAGTCCTGGACAGTTGAGGTTGGTGGAAAAATTTCAAATTACTATATAATTGCTGAGGAAATTAGAAGGAAAAAAAAAAGAGGAAACTGATTTCTATGAGTAAAACTAGTTAGATGATTCATAGAGACTGTCATATATATATATATATAGAAATGAAGATGAGAGAGTTCCAAGTCTTTTCCTGGTCTAAGAGGGTTCCAGATCTTTTCCTGGTTCAATAAATATTTCGTTTGTAAAATACCTGACATTGGAAGTGTGTGGGTGGGGGGAGGGCAAACAAAATCACTGAAACAAAATGGACAAGAGCATATAAAATTTAATGCTGATCCTTGATCCTTCATCTCCATTAATTATGATTTTATTCTCCCAATCATCTTCTGAGGTTTTAAGCAACAAACCTCATAAATGCTTATAAAACTACGAAGCTCTGTTAAAGCCAGGCATAACACTTGAGTTAGGGCCTTCCAAAGTGACTTTCTGGACATGGACAACACATACCATGTGAAGTATAATGGGATTTCCTCTTGCTTGTTCTAAATTTACCTCCCATTAATTTCATTGTGCATCCCTTCTCTACTGTCAAGCAAAAAAAGAACACTCATATTTCATCACAGTATTGAACAGTTAAACTATTCATGTTCAATTTTTCATTTTTCTGTGCTAGGGTACCCTGGAGTTCTAGGCTCTCTTTTAGTAACTACTCCTCTCTGGTAGCAATTGACTGGTGGGTTTGCTATGACCTGTATTACAATTGACACACCACAACAATTCCAGGGAATACAGCAAATTTACCATTAAGACTGTGAAAATAGCTGATATGACAAGGTTTATAAAGAAAAGTCTTACGGGTATTTATCTTAGTGTGACCACAGTGTTGAATGCAGTGTCTCCCTCATGGGAGGACAAGGTGAGCGCTAAACTTTAATACATATCTACATGTGTCACACTTCCACATTTACGCCATTGCACTTTTCTATAATGACCCTATATTAGTATCTCCATTTCTGTTAATTGAGGAAACCAAGTTGCCTAAGATCAAACTTTGAGTACATAGCAGAATTGAGATCTGAATTTATGTCTGTTTGATTTTTTTATTTCACTGTGTGATTTCCCATTTCAGTGTGTGATTTCCCAACCATACTCAGTACCCAAGATTTCATTTGTGGAATGCCACCTTCATATGGTTGTTTATTATCTCTTTAGTTCAATCCAGCCGTGAGAGGGAAAGGACTGTAACTCAGTATAGCCGTGATTCACACCTGGCCTGATGGCTGATTGGAATGCTACATGTTATGGTCAATCACTTACTTAGTACATAATTAGTGTGTAATTAAGAAGTAAAAATTAAGGCACATACAGAGCCAGTTTTTTTAAGTAATGATTCTTTGGGGATTGAGTCTCCACTTCCATTTTCATTGCCGTTGTAAAAAATAGTAAATAAAGGCAGCAGGCAGGATGGCTGACATATTTTTCAAATGTGTCAACTGAGAATGTCAAAATGAATAACCAGACCTTTTTGTTTGGGGCATGTTGTATGTGTTTGCCATAAAATCCACACACTTTTCAACTCCACCCGCTTTACACTGAAGTGGTCATTATACTATGAGTCCAGCTGTGGGAGCTCCAGACAGATCTGGTGTCAATAGTGAATAATACAAATGTCCCTGTATCTGCTATAGACCGCCAAAGAAAAAAACGAGTAGACTTAGATCTGACATGAACTTCCACTTTGAGGTTTAGTTGCAGGGAAGAAAATAAGATGATACTTAGTAATGGTAATATATTAATGATTGCAAAACTAACTATTTGTGGGATACTCTGGCAGGTACTATGGGATACACAAAGATGATTAGCACAGTTCTTGCCAAACTGGAGCTTACAACTTAGCAGAAATTGTTAATCTGTTTGGTTAAATGCATGGAACATTTCACTGAATGAGAAATAGTAGTGTATGAAGTCGTCCAATTCTACAGTGCTTTGAAGTGCTCGATACTGAGCTCCACAAAAGTTGAAACTTCATTAACTGGCATCATAAAATAGCATATAAGATAAAATCTCTCAATTTGCTAAATCAGTATTTTTATAACTGATATTGTTTACAGGTCATTATTGTTAGAATTCACAGTGGAAGGAAATAATTTGTAGCTACTGCTATTATGATAAAATATGAAATTATCTAAAGATCCCTATCATTTTTGGCTATTTTAAACCACATTTATTCATTATAATGTAGAGGAAGGTTTTCTTACTTGTGAGCTCGCCATTCATCTCTTTAAGTTCCCTGTTGATTCCGACATCTATGGAATTCATTATTTTGTCAATCTGTGAGAAACAAAAATCATGTAACTGGATTATTACATTCACTTTTAACATTGCATTTTAAAATAACTTTCAAATGCCCCGAGCATATATTCTATATTGTTGGTGTTATTACCCACAGCAATACCACAATTAAGGGACCGATAGTGAAAGATTTAAAGGGAAGCAAAAATCTTTGAGATTGTTTTTTAAAATATAAATCACGCTCCCCTTTCTTAAACTTTCAAACTCAACTTGCCTTTTCTTTGTGTTTCTTGAAATGAACTTTGTATTTGGATGGGTTGGTAAGTTAGGAACTGTGTGTTCTTTATACTCAGAAGGGTCTCAGGGTAAGTGCATGTGAGAAAGTGTATGCTCTCTGGCATCCCTCTGCTCCTGCCTGGGCGGAGTGCATCCCAGCTGACTGGTGAAGGGTTGGGTTTCAGTTTGTGGGCACAACCACAGGAAACAAGTCCTAATTAAATGGTTTGACCAGCCACAAGCTCATTACTGGTATCCATTTTCAAGAATCCAGGCACAGAAACAATTCTAAGAGGTAAGTTAAATTTTAATCAATCTTGCCTCCAAAAAAGGATTTCAGATATTATTCACATAATTAATAAACATAAGAAATGATATACTTGAAAAAACTACCCATCTACTAGTATGTAATTTATAGGGAGACATGACTATCTAAGCTATGGCCATTTATGGTTTAATCCCTCTCCTCATCTTTGCAACCTGAATAAATAAGATGACAGATTCCAGAAAGAACCATGATCATTACTGGAATATCCCATTTTGTTCCCCACTGAAACAGATGCAGTGACATTAAGTGATTTTCCCAAACGGCTCAATTCAGAATGTCACTCTCAGAACCATATCCATTTCTAGTTCTCTAGTTCACTAGAGTGATCTGTTGTGCTTCCAAACCTAATCCAACTGGTAGAATCTTTTGAGAGACAAAATGTGATGTGTTGGAATGATATACCAAGAGGGACTCTGGTCCATTCTTTGAAGAAGTTCAACAAAAGGCAAGACACTTTATTATTTTATGATGCAATCCTCCTTAGGGACAAAGGACATTTTATAACCTTATAAGGGTACTTACTTTCTGAATAATTCTATGACATTAAAGATTTGTCTTTAAGCAGAACTTACATTGGTGATACTTGACCCCAAAACATTTTTTCCTTTAATGCTTCCCCAATAGTTGCACAAGGGAATATTAAGTGATGAGTGTTTATTATATGGTACTTGGAGCAGAGCCAGGACCACCGTGTTTACCATTAAGGTTAAGATTCTCAGGAGCTCTTCTGAAAATACAAGCTACTTTAAAGAAGGGAGACAAGGTAACAATGAGTGTAGCAAGTACCAAAATGACATAGAGCAAAATGCCAAGCTTTTTCTCAATTTGTCAGCTGCAGGGCTTGGTAGGACAAGATGTGAACATTCTCTTGTACCTCAAAGCTAGTTATTACTTCTGCTTGATATCAATTTCTATGGAAACAATAGATTAACCCACATGTGTGGAACTGTGTTTGTTTTTACACTTGCTGTGAAATTGCCATGTGTTACCCACAGAACCTTTCCATTCCAGTTGGAGCTGTATGCATTTGTTAATTTTTTTCTTTTTGCCTCTGAAAGACTTAAAAAGCTAAAAAGCCTTCCCCCAAACCTCCCTTGACTCCAAAGTGTTATATAAAGAACAGCAAGGAAAACAAAGCTTACTTCTTCCCATTCAGATGTGAAGGATGGTGTTCTTTCAGAATTCCCTTTAGAACTGTGTTCAGCAGTGGAAGATTCACTCCAGTTAACTCTTGATGTTTTCTCATTGGAAGGGTAGGCAATGAGACTGGAATCGGATTTAGAGACGTTTTTTGATAAATGCATGTCAATCAGGGCTTTAGGCAATGACCTTATTCTCCCCAGAGTACAGGCTCTCTCCACAAATCCCCCTGTGTTCATAACCCACTGGTCCCCATTCCGGGATCCACTCCTGGTTGATCTTGTGCCAACAATGGTATGGTTTTCAAGTTGGTTGCTTTTTTTATGAAAAATTGTTCTACTGACCACTTTGGGTTTAATTTTCTTTACCAAAGGCTCTGGCTTATTTTCTATCGGAGACTGCTTGAGGGGCAAAGGACTGTTTGCCAAACTGACTTCGTTTTGTCCTTCTTCACATTGCTCTCTCCTCCCATAGAGATGAAAGGGGTTTTCAGGGGATTCACAGGCTGGAGAGGATCCATGAAGCAGGCCTGCAAATTGCCCAGGGTCATATTCTTTTGGGGGATCATTGTCCTCCTGTTGAGAGACATCATCTGCAAAAAGGAGGAAAGGATGTCAAGATGCATGGTTACAAAGGACTCTGAAAGCCATGACACAGTAACAGTGCCCTTGCAAACTTGTGCAATATCCAGACATTTTACTTATAGCTACACAGCAGCACCTTTACTTTATGAAATCCTATGACCCTACAGTGCCATGTATTAAATATAAAATGAATGTGTGTATATATATATATGAATCAAACCTTCCTGAGAAACCTGAGGGTTCATTTCAAAGGTATGCACTATGTATTATATTAAATAATTGAGTGACAGTATATGTTTCTCCCCTGAGTGCAAGGTGTGTTTTTTTTAGTGGATGAACAAAACTGAGTTTTCTGGAAGTGGAATGCTCCCTTCCAAACCCTCACAATGAATGAATGAATCGTCATGCAGCAGGACATCAGGCAAGTAAGTCGAGATAAAATACAACGACATCCCCTTGCCCTCCTCCCAGCAAATAGCAAATCAATCCAAACACAAAGTCTTGAAAAGGAGTGCAATTAGAAGTAATTTAAGTTGAATAATCCTGATAGTATTACTTTAAATATAAAATTAAGAATAATTCTACACAGATCATATGATTTAGACAAAAAGGATTTGTTCAGGCTTAACACAGGCAAACAATGCAACCCATAATATCACTAAGAAGCGAGACTCTTTTACAGGAAACTGATGTTGAGCTATTAACACAAAGCTATCTTGTTCTTTCTTTTTTCAGATCGCATTAATCATTTTCTAATTTCTTCAGATCTTTAGAATGTAATGCAGAAAAGAAACCAAAGAATGATAATTTTTGTTGCCTTAGAATTTTTTCCTAAGATAAAATGTAAATTTTCCCTGAGATTTAAAATGTACCATGCTTTTATATGATTTATTTTTTAAATATATACTTGTGTATACACCTGGCCAAAAACTTTAGCAAAGGAAGTAAGTTTACTTTTTATTTTTTTCAGTGTCATTTTAATTCATGTAGATAGCTAAATACTTGCCAAGATCAAAAGCTAAATTAGCTGACAAGCCCATAACTCACTCTTGCAAAGAAGTCATAGCCAACGTGGTACATAATGACAACAAATTCAGAGTTGATTTGCTGATTCATACTTTGAAGAAGTTAGTTACTATCATAAACCCCAAACAACAGCGTTTTTATAAATTAACAAATAACATTTAATGAGTATGTGCTATCTACTAGTCATTGAATTAAGAGTTATATTTATATTATCTCTTTTGATCCTCATAAAAATCCTGTGATTATTAAAAATAATCATGATTTTTCTGATGGAAAGCAATATGGCCACACTATTTAATTCTCATACTTTTAAGGAATGGGTAACCATAAATCTCATCAGACATCTTCCCAGAGGATGAGCCAGACAAATCTATTCTTTATATTAAGGACTGGCTCCAGGTCTCTATACTGCTCTCTCCCTGAGAGCTGGTAAAAACAGGTGCATTCCCAGCCTTATGTACCCCCAGACCTCAGGCTCTTGCTTGGCTTTTGCCAATAGATGGTATCTCCCTGGCTAGACCTATCATGCCAGCAGCCTGAGACAGAAGAAAGAAAAATGACAGGAAGAGAGATCTAAGGGAGACCAATCCAAAAGAGTAACAGTGGACCCACCAAGCACTATTATACTCACAACTCCATCCCTTTCTAACATAGTCACACTATGTCTTGACAACTCCATTTTGTCTTCCTCTCACATCAAAAACCATTTCTTAGGGTAGAATACTGAGTGGATAGCGGGGCAAGGCAGCTTTGAACTGTCTCTAGGGATCCCCGTTTATCACCTATCATCTCCATGTTTTAAAAAGTCAAAATTAACACTTAGACCATGTAAGTTGCTGACATTTCCCCACCTTGTCAGTGATTAAGCTGAGGTTCAAATTAAGGTCTATCAGATTCCAACATTCATTGGCCTGGAAAATATATTACTTTTAAGATAATAAAACAACCCAGCATTGAGTTTACCCAGAAGACAAAAAAAATAGGCTCTTTGTGGAAAGGGACATATTTCTCCTGTCAGTGACCATTTCTGAAATTTTGGAAAAGTAGACTAAGAGCATTAGAGTTTTATGACTGTCTGTTTTTGTTTTGCTTTGTTCTCTTCTTGGAGGTAAGCTAATGTTAATAGAAAATAAGACCTGGCATTCTGTTCCAATTTATTGTCTCTGTTTGCTTCCTAGACTACTTGGAGCCTCCAAAGAACTTCACAGCATAAGCAGGTCGGTGTGCTGAGACAGCGATGGTGAGTGATGCCGTAGGAAGCGAGAATTCTGAAATAAGGAAGTTTAAGGATTTCATTTTGGAAGTTGGTAAAGAAGGCTAAGGGGTTTGAGTTTGAAAGGAAAACTGAAAAGAGCCAGCCTATTGTGGGAAAAAGGTTTGTAGATCTCAGTCAAAAGGTTTCTGACCATGTTCATTATCCAGAATTAGAACAATTTTAGGGGCGTAATATTATTTAAAGTTTTCTGTGAATATTATTGTTAACATCCCCGCTGTGGTTTGACCAAAATGACTGTTATTACAGCCCCAAAATGCTTTCTATCGTCCAAGTCCTCTAGTCATAAGCAGTCACGTCTCTAAGTAAAAGAGAATTTAGTTATTAGCTTATAAAGCTTAGTTTATTGAATGACAGTTTTTAGCATGGGGATAGTTGGTTTCACTTTTGCCAAGAATGGTGAAAAGGCAAATATTACTTGCTTATTTCAGTAGTGGCCAAATTCTGAAGATGATTCAATTTAAGGAAAATGAATTGATATGAAACCTCCAGAAAAGCCCGTGTAATGCAGTTCTGGCTCGGATCTGCTCCCGGCGCCCTGTGGACACAGCCCTCCCACTCGGACTCCCAGCGTGGCCTTGTGCCTTGCGCTGCTCAACCAGACAGCAGCAAACACGACACGAGCAGAGATTTGAGAAGCACTCGCGTATCAGGCTTGTTCTCTTGTTGCTCTTGGAACCTTGCCACCATGTGAACAAGCGGGGCTGGCCTTGCTGGGTGATAACACATTATCCAGCTGTTTTAAAATGTAGGTTTTTTTATTTTTCAAGTATGGTGAAACCAATAGATCAGGAGATAACCGCCATTGAAAAGGGAGACTGTTATACTCATTGATCCAAGAAGAAAGGCATGTGGCAGTGCAGAGGGCCACATGGGAGAACCGGGTTGGTCAGGAGGCAGATGGAATGATGGGAGATCATGGGCTAGGGCCTTTATTGTGGTTTCCATGGTAAGGAACAAGCAAAGCAAGCAGGGATAAGCAGATTTAGGATTGGCCGGTTTGAATAATTTCAGCACAGCAGACGCTGGGGCATAGGGACTGTACCTCGTTGTCTGGTACCTGGCCCTGGGGTCATTAGGGCAGGTGAATGAACAAATGGCCTGGAGTGTGAGAGATAAAGGAGGTGGCTGGGGTATGGGCTCTGGATTGGGTGTTTTGCATATAAAAAGACAGTTGACAGGGGTCCTCAAACTTTTTAAAAAGGGGGCCAAGTTGGAGGACCGGACTATAGTTTAAAAAAAACTATGAACAAATTCCTATGAACACTGCACATATCTTATTTTGAAGTAAAAAAAACCAAACAGGCAAAAATACCTGCATGTGGCCCGCAGGCCTTAGTTTGAGGATGCCTGGTTTACTATCTCTAGGAATTAGTTAGCCCTGGAGTCCCTTCTGGGCTAGCAAGGCCCCAATATATCAAAGCATAAAAATGAAAACAAATAAACAAAATAGAAAATAAAAAAACCCATTATCCCAGCCAACAGCCAGCCAACTTCCACACATGTGAGGCCATCTAGGACCAATCAACCCAGGCTGACTGACCAAGTGACCACAGACGCATCAGCAAGCATAGTCAAGATGAGCTGAGCCTGGCCCAGGCCAGAAGAAAACACCCACCAGAATCATGAGCTAAATTAATGGCTGATGTTGTAAGTCATTAAGTTTGGAATGTTTTGCTATATGACAATACACAAAGAATCCAACCTATATCCTGAGTTTTAAAGAATTAATGTACTCTCTTCAAAATTAATTCTGGTAATGTTTATATAATATTTCCACACCTGGAAAATGATGGTAATAATAGTATATACCTAAAAGTGTTGTGAAGATTAATGAAATCATAGAAGTGTATTAGTCCAGTCAGGCTGATATGACAAAGTACCATAAACTGGGTGGCTTATAAACAACAGAAATTTATTTCTCACAGTTCTAGATGCCGAGAAGTGGAAAATCAAGGCAGCAGCAGATTCAGTGTCTAGAGAGGTTCATTTTCTGGTTCATAGATAGCTCCATCTCACTCCTGTCCTCTCATGGTGGAAGTGATGAAGGAGCTTTCTGGGGTCTCTTTTATATTGTCTCTACCCTCATAACCTAATCACCTCGCAAAAGCCCCCTTCCTAATACTATCACTTTGAGGGGTAGGATTTCAACATATGAATTTTGGGGGGACACAAACATTTGGACTATAGCAGGGAGTAAAACAGAACATTTTCTATTGCATAGAACACACTAAATGTTTCTATTACTATGACAATAATTTTTATTCTAGAGGATTTCATTTTTATAAAGAAATGTAGTAATACTGATCCTATCAGACACTCAATAAAAATTATTTTGACACAGTAATCATGTGGGATTTACTCCTTCATTTCTGTTTGTATATTTTAAAAAAGTATACTTTGGAAAGGGTTTTTGTGTTTTTCTTACTATTTCTTTAGATAAAACTGAGGCTATATATATATATAGATTAAACTGTTTTCATAACTTGTCTCATTTAATTTCACACTTCTCCTTTGATAAGTGAATATTTCATGCCAAGGTACAGAACTAAATACGTGTGAATTTCTATCTGATAGTTATTCAGAGCATCATTAGCATTTCAAAGAAATGTCAGAGCACATATCCAATAGTAAGCAGTTCAATCTCTTTTTATTCCTCTTTGCCTGATCTTCATCACCTATATAAATACCTGAATCACAACAAAACCC